CACGGATAGTTGGAAATCAAATGGTACGCTGCCCTGTTATTTGTCAGTGGATTTGTTAACACTGACAAGCACAACCTTTTATTGATACAGCCACGAGGACAACCGCTGAGCAAGACTTGTTATAACCTTTGGAAATATCAGACAGACCATCATATTTTCTGCTAACAGTGTTTTCGGGTAGTGCCAAAATCCTCCTGTTCGGGCTCACAAAGGGTACTGCTTTCTTCAGCAAATTATCATTTCAAGGAGATAAGTGTGTTAATAATTGATTACAGCATTTTAAAACAATTTAAGGATCTTTTTTTCCCTCTTCACGTCAGTTCTGTTCTATCTATAGGCTCTCGATCTGGGCTTGCTTTGACCCCGTTCAGCAGCACGCTGATGATAAAGCTGAACAAAGCTGTCTGTGTTTCAGGATTCTTCATATTTTATTCAAAAACAAAATGAGCACGATTGCTTTGTTTACCTGCATAGCTTCCTCAACATTGTACTAAAGCATTCTTTTGAAAACAGCCGTGCCGTATATACACAAGGGACGAGGAGCTTTCTGGTTACTGCATCATATCCACAGCTGACATGGAGATTGTTCTTCATAAGTTCTTGATTTACAGTAGTCACCATAACATGTCAGTCTCCTCTCAGGAGGATCAGTGACAACGCTTCAGGCATTATGTAGGCCATCACACTGTAGGCCTATGAAAAATGGTAAATGCTACCCATGGATTTCCGTAATGATTTTCATGATTTATCCAGTCATCCAAATTGCTGGATTACTGAACCAGTTCAATATTCTAATTGAGCATAACTAGATATATGTATATTCACTAACGATTTTTGTATTTTTTTCCCCTAGTCCGGTAAATGACATCAATTAAATTTCTGGTTACCTCCAGGTTTTCCATGTGACTGTGAACATTTTCCATTCGTGCTGTTTATTTAATATATTACTTTACTAAATTAAAGTATCTCTGTATCTTTTGCTTTTAAAACACGAAAATAAAGCCTGCTATCAATAGCTAAAATATAAACAAATGAATAAATACATATGTATGTATAATAATGTATGTATATGCAGGCCGACATAAGTTTGAATCCCATTCTGTCATTTTCATGTTGAAATTTTAATTTGTCAGACTCTGTTCCGTGTTTTGTGGTTGTTTTCTTCATGTGCCTTCCTTTCCCATGTTCAATTTGTCCCAGGTGTTTCCCTTGATGTTTCATTGCTCCCAGGTGTGTCTCGTCATCCCCTCCTCCTGTGTGTATAAATAGTGTTCCCTGTGTGTGCTCCAGGGTCCGGTATTGTTCAGGTCATGTTCATGTCTATGTCTACATGTATTGCGTGAGTGGTCCCTTGTATTAATTAAACCCATTTGGATTGATGTACTCCTCGTCTCTCTTCGTTCCTTGCTCCTCAGTCCGCTCAGCAGT